TTTGGCTCGTGGGCATTTCATGGTCTACAATTAAAATGTAAAGCACTTTAGAGTGGGCACTTTAACTTATACTTTCCATCTTTCTTGTCTCTGCCCAGAAGAAAGCTTGCCTGAAAATGAATGCCTGTGATGATATGAAGAAAACCACAACTTGTTAGCTACAGGAAATGGAATTCTTTTGTAGGGAAAAATATTGATGACAAAACTCTTTTTAAAAAGCACTGTTTTGGGGTAAAACTGAGCTTCAGGTTGGCATCTAGGATTCACAAGGAAAAGGAAGTTGATTGGGTGACCGAGTGAGGGTCAGGACAGAAAAGACATAGTCATTGGGGAAAGAAAGAAAGAACTCTCATTATTAATCAAGATTTTGGAGAAATTTGCTCTTTCGTGTGCAATGCAAAGTTTTCCCTCCCTGGTCAGCTTTCCATGCCCCCACCCCCGACCCCACACACTACCAACCATCTTCAGTGAGGTTAAAGATGTGCTGAGATTCACTTCAATATGAGCAATGGGCAAAACCAGAGACCACATATAGGGACCAGAGAAGGTTTTGAATTTGGCAGTGGGTTTTTAGAAAGGCACATAGCTTTGAACTAGCGATATCGCTTCCTATCCTAAATGTTCTTCTAATTTTTGGTCTCCTATTTTAGCCTATTATTAGATCCTTTGTGTTGGTTTCCTCAGAGTTCTATTCCTGACCCCTCTCCCTCTATACACATTCACTGGATAATCTTATCCACTTCACTGGCTCCATTGTAGCCTGTAAATTGAGAAGCCCAAAATTAGAAATCTAGCGCTTCCCCGCCTTTCACACTGGGTGCCTAATTACTTGTTGGATACTTCCAACTGGAGGAAACTCAGGTACCTCCAACTTCACACATCCAAAACCAAACTGGCTACTCTTCTTGATTTATTTTCTGTCTATGATATCACCATCCTGGTTGCCATGATCCCTTCCTCCTTCACTTGCTGTCTACAGTTAACACGTCTTTTGACCTTCTCATTTCTTACTCTGCCCCCGCTCTACTTCCAAACTCATTTTCTCTCACCTGGACAACTTCAACAGCTTTCTCATTAGGCTTCCTGTATCCAGTTTTTTTGGGACCCTACTCCTATCACCACTCCATGTCTTCCCATAGATTATATCAATGCTCCATGAAAGACATTTTAATGATTATACATCACTCGTAAGCCAACGCGCAAACTCCTTAAAAAGCTGTCAAGGATCTGCAGGAAGTGATCTTTGTTCATCTATCCAGCTCCATCTCTTTGACTACCCACAGACATGCTGATCTTTTAGTTCTTAGAAAGTTCACTCTGCTCCCCTGGGCTTTCACACATGCTGGTCTTTCTGTGGGTTACCTTGCCTTTGTGCTTCCTTTACTTCCTACCCCTTCCTTTATCCAGGATAGCACTCACTCATACATTGTGCATGAGTACATTCATAATGGTATCAGAGGAAATATCATTTCTCCAAGGGACCTTCCCAACACTGCATGTGGGCTATAGGCTCCTCCTGGTGGGCCTGCCTATACCTTTGTTTTCATGTTACTATTCTAAGGTTCCATTGCAATTGTTTTTTCATCCAAATTCTATCTTAGACTGTAAGCTCCAAGGGGAAGGGAGCTATGTTTCTAACTTGCTATTTGTCGTATTTTTATGGCTCAGAACATGGTATTTGCTCACTAAATATTTCAGAAATTAAATAGTGCAAGAGAAAGAAAGAAACAGTAAAAGATATACAATTATTAAATGTTTTAATTGACTGCAACAGAGAATGATAGTTTTCATACCAAAAGATGGGAGAAGAGATATTTTCACTGCTATTTATTTCCAAAGTAGGATTTGTTTGTAGGGCATCATCATGATCTAAAAATGTAGAGCAGAAATACCAAAAAAATTTATTCAATTTCTTCTTGTGGATTTGTTTCTACCATTCCTTGGAAGCCCACAGAGATTACAACATTTTATTGAATAGTTCTCCCTCTTTGGAAACTAGCTGTACCCACAAAATTGTCTCCTACTCAACCATAATTGTGTCATGCCAGGAAAACTCTCTTTGTTCTCTCTTTAAGTGTGTATGTCTCATTTGAGGACAAGGCTGTGTGTTATTCCCTGTCATTGCCCAGAGTGTATGACAAAGTTACTCACAAACATGCTTGCCACAGTGATCTGATTGGGGCAAACACTTTCTCCTCCACAGCAGCATGGATAGAACGCGCTTGTTCCAGAGCAGTAACAGATATCCTGGTCATTTCTGTCTAGTATCTTTGATATTCCCTACTCCCCCCACCCCTGGGGAGACAAGTAATTCATTTCCAGCCTTCCCTACCCATCTCATTCTGTCTGTTGAGTCAGCTGGGTGAAGGAAACCAGTAAAACCATGTTCCAAAGAGTTAAAGAAACCAATGACGAACAGAAATTGAGTTTGCAGAATGGCAGATAAAGAAGGAAATAACTTGCTGAAACAATGAAACTTCCTCTGCTTATGAGATTAGAGAGCTGGCTGAAATCGATTGGAACCGATATGGCCAACTGGAATCTGTACAGAATGAGCTTGCTAATGTCACAGCCTGAATTTTTAACCACGTGTTTCCCACTAACTTCCCTTGCATTTCCACATGTGACCCTTGAGATAGCATGCAGACATAAGTGCACATGTCCAAGGACTTTCCAGCTACCAATCACCTGTTAATCTCAGAACCCACCACCCTGCCCCAACCTTTTCTAAAAAAATACTGCTTCAAAAGCCAGAACAAAAAGACAGATTTGAGCTTGACACTCCTGTCTCCCTGTGAGTCAATTTGCAATAAAAACCTTTCCTTTTCTCAAAATCCAGTGCCATAGTATTGGCTTCTAGTGCATTGAGCAGCATGCTACCATTTGCTTGAGGATACTAGGATCACAGAAGAAACAGACCCCAAAGTCAATTATCGCTCTTCCCAGTCACTGGGAATGAAGGCTGTGCCCTACATCCTTTAGGTTTCCTTAAGGGCCATGGGTTTTCTCTTCCTTCCCATGATGTGGCTTCTATCAATATCCATTATCTTCCATGGATTGCACTGCCAGATGTCCTTAGGCACAGGGCTGAGGTGTGAGACATTGCTTATCTTGTTGCTTAGTTACACCTTGTATATACACACAGAATGCAAAATTCTCAAGGGATGAATAACCCAAGTGCTACAAAGACTGCCCTGAGTCTTCCCCATTTCCCCCATAGAGCAGCTGCCTTCAGGGGACAGACAGAGAAGGCTGCCATCACGCAAGGCTGACATATCATGTGTGAGGACATATGGGAACCACATTTTCTCATATTACTTCTTCAAAAATGAATTAAAGTGCTCTATAAAACATACATCTTTGTGACAACAAAACTGACATATGAACAGAGATTCTTGTAAGGAATGGCTTCAGAGGAACCAGCAGTGTTGAAGGGTGTGTGTAAATGGAATTCACAGTCAAAAAAGCTAACAGAGAGGGCCCAGCACCTCTCCTGGCGTTTACACTCACTGAAAGCGAGAACACTTTGGATGCATTTCAAAGACGGAAGTGTTTACAAGCATAAGCATTATAAGACATACGATGCAGAATTTGGAGGTATGTGCCTTCTAAATATCCTCTCTGCCAAGTTTTTGCCACTTTTAATTTAATCTAATATTGAAAAGCTTCATTAGCTTAGGGTCTTTTGCACTTGGAAACTTTGGTTCCCCCAAAAATATTTTTTCACCTAACAATGGAATAATACCTCCAGCTCTTAGGAATTAGCACCACTATCTACCGAGTATTATCTTGGACACTGTACCAATGCTGAAAAGCCAGGCAAGATCTCCACACCTGTAAAGCTGACAATTTTATTGGAATGAGAAGGCCCCAAGCAAATCAGTGGACAACAGTTAAAGATACAAATAGAATATTAATCTTACGACAAGGTGGGATATAATTACTTTAGGCCTTAATGGTGAAATAACTGGTGTTTGCAGGAGTTCAGAGGAAAAGTGAGAGTTTGTTTCAGCTGGGGTGTTCAGACAGGCTTCATAGAGGAGATGAAAGATGAACTGGGCCTGGTGCAAGGAGAGGATCAGAAAAAATGGGAAGAGAGTAAAATATTCTAGCTGGAGGGTAATTGTTTACAATCAAAGTCTGAAAGGACAAAGCCAGTCACATGGTATGGGACAAAGAAGCTGTGCTGAAATAACAGAGAGAGACAAGAAAGATCTTAACATTCTTTCTTCAACTCCCTCTTCAAGTGGCACTTATAACAGCGTTTATCTCCTATCTTCATTCAATTAAATTACGGAGAACCCCTTTTTTTCTTCTAAAAAGTGCAAAGACAATGCATAACAAGAATCTTCAGAGATACATTTGAAAGTCTGATTTTTGAAATTTGTACCAACTGCACAATGCTACTGTGGTTAATTAATTACAAATCATTTATTTTTATTTCTGGATATTAATGTCTAATTTGAAACCAGGAGAAGAGTTGTATATTATTTGTTTTTCAAGTTTGCATATAGCATTCATTTTAAAGTAAGTTTTTCTAAGCTATGTGTAGCTACAAATAAAGCAATTTACATTACCGCTCTTGTCCTGCAGTGTCCCAAAGCTGCAGATGCACTTTAAATGCTTTCCCTGAAGATCCATTTGGTCCTTGTGTATTATAAACCTGAAATATATAATGTTCATTAGTTGAGGTTGCTTTGGATTTTGTCAACACTCAAATTCTCTGGGTTCACTCAGCATGTTTTTTCTCAATTACTATAATCAAAGTTCATAGTGCAGAATAAATATTTGCTCTATTTTTTTCCAGAATTATCACATGTACTCTCACTTTTAAATGTCAAGTGCAAGTATGATTTTCAACACAGTTTAGGCATATTGCAAACTTAAATTAGACGCCTTCTGTCATTTTCTCATGAGGCAGCAAACATCAGATTTAGGACCCAAGTTCTAGGTTCAAATACAAACTCTTCATTTAACCTCTTTGAGGCTTATTTTCTTATCTCTAAATAGAGATCCGACCACTTCCTACTTTATAGTTACTTCAAACTGCAAAATTTAGTGAAATCACAGATGTTAAAGCATTTTTAAAACAGTAAAGTGTTTTATAAATACACAAATATCCTTTACTGAAAAACAGACTTTCAAAATGCACAGAATGTCTCAATAAGTTGACACAGGATATTTTAAGCCTTTCTTCACTAGTCATTTAGTCAAAGGTTCTTTTTAGGTAAGTTTAAATTTTTTTAAAAAATTCTGGCCTTTTTATTGTTGAAGGAAAGCCTAAAACATTTAATATTTACTCAGTTATCTTAGGTATAGCTTAGTGAATATGTTTTAAAGGGAAAATTTCTAAGGACATGTACCCCTATAAAGGAAAGGATGGAAGGCAGGAAAACGCTGAATGGGTTATTAGGGAGTTTGCTAAGCCCACAGGACCATGTACTGACTTTCAGATAAGGTCCAGCCCATTATAAGAAACATGATTCAACTTGCCAGGCAATGGCTTCCAACTACCATTCTTTTGTTTTCTTCCCCAGTTCTCAAGGAATAAGTAGATTTGTGACATCAACTGGAAGCCACAGCCATTTGGCAATCAAGAATACCCAGGGTGGCAGTAAATCTGGCTGAGCTTCTGTGCCTATGCTACACATCTCACATGTCACAATATCCTTATTCCTGTCAATAGCGTCTAGCATAGGAGAAGGAAGTGGTTGTGATTCTCACTTAAACTCCCTTATCTTGGAAAATAGCATGATTGGTCTCACATTCTGTTCATAAGAAGCCAGTGATTGATGGCTGAGTCTACACATAAATAAAAATGCAGCAAGAACTTACAAAGCTCATGTTCCAGATATTTGCCAATCATGCTTTTAACTTCTTTCTTAAGAGTGGGGAAATGATCACTTGCTCTTATTGAGGAATTTAACTCAGATCAGAGTTAATGTTTTTAGGTTCTAATAATTCAAGTTTTGAAAGATTTCTTAAGAATTCATGGAAAACACACATACAAATCTGTAAAATATTGACTTGGGTTGCCTTGTGTAATTTGGGAGACGAGAGAGCGCCACTTAATATTCTTTTAAGAAAAATGTTATTTATATCTGAAAAGTAGTAAATAATATTCTAAAATAAAGTAACAGGTTATGAATTTCATGTGACAAAAGACAGACTCGAATGCAATCAACATAGCTTCTGGATTCTTATTTTATATAGGGGGATGGATGACAAGTACGATTAAAAACTCACCACACGTTTTTCCCGAAAGTCTATTCCTACTGTAGTGATGAATTTGGGATTGAATTTATTGTCTGTGTATCTGTAAAGAAATGTTGTCTTCCCCACCCCTGAATCTCCGAGGGCCAGGAGTTTGATCAGATAATCATAGTCTCCATCGGTCATAGTGATGGTCTTGGTCGGTCTGTATAGGAGAGGGAAAAAAACTGTTATGATTAAAGTTGATTTTCCTTTGCCTTATATCAAAATACAACACAAATTTAATTTTCAGGGTTAAAAAGTCTAATACCTCTATTCTGCCATATTCAAAATTAACTTGATCAAAGCAGCTTTTGGGGTGAAGGTACATCTAGTATTTCACTGGGTACAAATCTTTTTACATCACATCATCTAATATGGAAAAATATGCAAAATACCAGTTGCCACAGTATATTAGTCTGTTCTTATGCTGCTGTAAAGAACTGCCTGAGACTTGGTAGTTTATAAAGGAAAGATGTTTGACTTACAGTTCCACAGTTGCACATGGCTAGGGAGGCCTCAAAAAACTTATAATCATGGCAGAAGGAATCTCTTAACAGGTGGCAGGAGAGAGAATGAGAGCTGAGCAAAAGGTGAAGCCCCTTGTAAAATCATCAGATCTTGTGCGAACTCACTCACATTCATGAGAACAGCATGAGTAGCATGAGGATAACTGCTCTCATGATTAAATTACCTCTCACTGCGTCGTTCCCCCAACACAAGGGGATTACAGGAACTACAATTCAAGGTAAGATTTGGGTAGGGACACAGTCAAACCATATCACACAGTGATAGTAGAACTTAAAGCAAAAAGTCATAGACTTGTGTTTTAAAACTAGTGCATTTGGGATTAAGAGGATGGTATTAGGAAGAGAAGAGAGTCACAGGGGACAGAAAATCCAGTCCAAGACGATGTAGCTATCCTAGAGAGAGACAGCACTTATAGGCAGATAATGGAAGAAAAAAGCAGAGGGATCTATTTTGCATCTAAACATGCAGGATAAGCCTTCTATATAATTTTTACACAAATCATTCCCTTTTAATTAAAAAAATTTAACAACTGGAATGAAAACCTTTAAACCTGTACTGGCAACACCAAGAATACCAGGACATGTATTTGAATGACACAATTACCTGCTTGGTGAAATATCCACTCTTGAGTTGAGCAAAATAATTTACTGTTTGGTACAACTGCCTGAATCATGGGTTATATTAATAGAAATGGGCTTGTCATATATGTAAAGGAAGGCCTATGAAGATTTTCTAGAATGCAAAGGTTTATCTCATTATTATGTGAGAAGGAGGAATACTTCCCCACCTCTGAAGATCCATAAAATGCTGTATTCTTTAAGCATTCTGGGGTAATTAAAATTAAATGTCAACAACAGCCTATTCTATGGACATGATATGGTTAGGCTTTGTGTCCTTACCCAAATCTCATCTTGAATTGTAATCCCCATAATACCCACATGTCAAGGGAGAGATCAGGTGGAGGTAAATGAATCATGGGGGTGGTTTCCCCAAGCTGTTCTCATGATAGTCAGTGAGTTCTTACAAGATTTGATAATTTTATAAGGGGCCATTCCCCCTTTGCTATCTACCTTTCTGCTGCTGCTTTGTGAAGAAGGGGCCTTGCTTTCCCTTTGCCTTCCACCATGATTGTAAGTTTCCTGAGGCCTCCCTCACCACGCTGAACTGTTTTTTAATTAAACCTCTTTCCTTTATAAATTACCTAGTCTTGGGCAGTTCTTTATAGCAGTATAAAATGGACTAACACAGGAAATATCTAAAATTACTAGATAATTCTAATAACTTTTTATGTGTAAAAAAATTGTACAAGTTCACTTAAAATAATTAAAACAATTTTTATATTGATACTTTAGTCGCCAATCAAAACCAAAATGTTTTCTGTCTTTGGATAAATAGTGATGAAGAATAGAATGAAGTACTCATCAAATAATTCAGGATCATTATATCATTTGGAATATTTGCAACTTTTTATATCATACTTTA